CACATGTATACCGACTAGGTAAGTTTACATTATACGCAACTGCATAACATTGATTAACCCGGAAAAGCTGATGTACAACACACGTACCCTCCTTCTGTCTCCTCCAGCAGCTTACTGGCAATGCGAATCATCATGCAGTAAGCAAATGGGGATTTGAGGCCAGATTTGGTGAATTTGTTAAGCATCTTAGTCACAGCCAGACGGTCATTCTTCCTCAGGTGGTACAGAAGACCCAGAGCATGGTACTGTGGAGAGATCCCATTTTATTAGAGACGGACAGACCACCAACTCATAAGACAATGGTTGCAAACATCTCACTAACCTGCACCATGATGTTGTCACTCGAAGCCGCCTCCTGAGCTTCATTGACCCAGCGTTTTACCACATCAAAGCTCATCTTCACCATGTGCTGAAGAACAAATACACAAACACAGCTACATTATCCAGAACCATAACGTTAGGGGTGGGAATCAGTGTAATAAACAGTTAAGTGGTAAACTGACTAGTTTGAATTAATAATAACAGATGGGGGTGGAGATGTATATATATTACAAAAATAACACTAGGTTGTGATCTTACCAGTGAGGAGACCAGAGCAGAGCTGGAGACACTGGGCACTTTGTCCACGATGGCCTGTTTCATGTATCGTTCAATCGCCTGCAGCATGGTGGTCTGATGGACGAGATGGATGAAGCACAGTTGGAAGGATCATTTATATCAGTCCCATCAGTTTATATATAGTTTGTTTCTGCTAGCAAATTAAGTCTCCTATACACAGAGAAAAATGAGTTTGCAAACAGTTGAGACTCACATCAGTGATCCTGCAGAGCGCTCTGATTGCCGGTCCTCTGTAAACATCCTCTTTACCAGTCATGTCTTTTGTCAAGCTGAGACACAAACAAAACATTAATCAGCGTTCTTCATAAGGTAATATTGGCAGCGTGTGCAAAGATTTCCATTCCTCATCAAACAACATGTTTTTATACTTTACATATTAGAAAAGGTATATTGTTGTAAATATCTCGGCAAATAAGAAATACACTGCTATGGCAACATGAACTGCTCACCTGCTTGTAACAATGATCACATCCTCTGAGATGTTGGCCATCTCCTTTATAGTCAGGTAGCACATTCTTCTCAGGGTTTGCTAAAACAAGAGGCAAAAATGAGAGATTATTACATATAAATACATCTTATTCTGAATTTAAATTCAAAACTTCAGCTAATAGCGGGAAACACACATTATTTGCATTAAATTATTCATTGTCAATTGAATAACTAAAATAGTAAGTAGTGATTAGTGTTATTCTCATATTATTTATTGTTACTTACCATTACAGTTTCTATTAATATTTTGAATTAGCTTTGATTTGTTCATTTCCTTGTATATTTCATCCATTTTATTAAAATTTTTAGTCATTTTCTTATGTGTTATTGTCATTATTTATTTATTTTTGTAACTATGGTTAATTTATTATTTTTTCAGTTTTATCCCCTCCAGTTAGTAATTATAGTCCTTCGACTTAGTTATTTCAGTTTGTTGCCAAGCCAACAGTTTTAATTTTCATTATAATATATAGAATATTTTTAAATATGTAAAATTGTATATTTCATTTCATTTCAGTTTCATTCCAAATAAACAATTCTTTAATAGAAACTCTGGATTATTATTATTTTTAACAATAACCCTGAAAGTAATAAAGACAGATATATCAGCCAGATTTGTATTGTCCAATTACTGCATGCTTTGGCAAATTATGTGTGAAAATTATTGTGTATAATTTTGATGCTGTCATTAATTATATTATATTACACATTATGCAATATGCATCCATTGGCCATACCATCTCTAGATATAGGTTTTGTCATAAAAAAAAAAAACAGTTAATATGGCTGTAGTGTTTCTTACATCATTAGACTGGAACAGTCTTGTCATGGCAAAGAAAGCTTCAGTGGCCTCTGTGGTTCCAAAGTGCTCACCCTGAATAATAAAAGAGGTTAATGAAGGATCAGTCCATAGAGAGCAAAAAAAAGAAACTGTAGTAGAAAACGGCTGTCTAAATAACATATAATAATGCACCTGGTTGAGCAGGTAGATGATCTTCGTGAGGATATGCAGACATCTTCTCGGATTGATGGGTGTCTCGTTGAAAATCCGAGCCTTTGAAACAAACATGCAATGTAATATACAGTACTAAACAGACGTTTACCTAATTTTAAGATTTGAATGTATCAAACTCACCTCCTGTAGTACAGCACTCTTCTCCAGATGCTGAAAGGGGTTAGAGCCACTTCCTAAAAACATCAAAATAAAGCTGTGAATCATCTAAATCTATGTCTTGTCTTCATTAAAACAATATATAAAATCATAAGATGGCATTTCTTCTAGAAAAGTGCACATAGAATAAGTTATAAAAGGACAAATAGCATCTTAATGTGACTCTTCGTCTGAGTTGACTTCAAAACAGCAATATTAGTCACACATATGAAATGTAAATCCTATATGCAAAGTAAACTAAAACCAAAGAGTTAGATCTTCTCAATCTGAACTGTCGGAAGATTATGGATTAAGTGCATTATAACGTTAGGTGAAGTTGTTATGACAGAGGAGAATAGCATCTATGTAGCCCCTTTGCAGTCATTTATCCAAATTTAATCAACCTCAATCAGAAATTGCCTTTAAATGTCTAAAATACAAAGCTTATCCAGAATATCCACGAAGCAAATATAGGATTTTCATTGTTTAACTTTGTATTGTACATTAATAAAGGGAACTGCTAGCACATTACCTTCCTAAAGATTAAATAAACATACTACAGGATACTGCAAAATCACACAGTTACTACTGGTTAAACCGTGGCTCTTAGACAGAATGAAGTATAAAACTGGAACATGCACATTAATTTTAAGTGTTAAATAACTTATATTTTCCATTCCAATTACAGATGTTGTGCTGTGGCCTGCAGACGCTCTTCCTTTGCAAAACAGTCGACATCATTTCGGCCACTGAAATGTTATTTATAAAATGCTGATTCTATAACGTGTCTGCATGTACTTAATATTGATCTTACCAGACTCCTCGTCCTTCTTGTCAAATTTCTTGATCATTTTGCGGAATGTTTGAGAGCAGTAAACGAGATGATCACAGTCATTCACGCTCCTTTCCTCCACGTCAACTAGTGTGACGTATGTTGTGAGCTGGCGGAGGTGAACATGGCGCCCACCAGGATCATGCTTCAAAATAAAAGTCTGTGCTTAAAAGTCGGAATGACTATGATGTTGATTTTTTGTTCCTATACGCTCCATACGAAAAATAAATAAATAAATAGGCCATATATATATATATATATATATATATATATA